ACAAAATATCAGTTCCCTAGTATTCTTAATAATTTTTCATGTAGTAAACAAATTCAACCAGCCAATTTATCATCAAATTCAAGGAAAATTTGTAGTTTCAATTCTTTCTCGTCCAAAAATTGTTGTGACATGAGTTTTCTGCTAAACATTCTCTCATATTCCATTGAATAGCCCACTAAAAACTTGGCCATTATCTCCTAGTGAAGCTTCCCACTCAATTGAGGATATCACAATTTGGGAAAGAGATACAACTATGTTTTGCATCTCCGGTCTGCTCACTGCATCTTCTCAAGCACAACTCAGCAATTTCAGCCATCTGCAAGAGTCAATGAAGCTTCTATAACATGAGAAAGGAAAACAAACTCTTAAAACAATATATATTGCAAGGACTTATCAACCTTATACGCATCCTTCATGAGGTAGTTGCCTCTGAGATTTCCATCTATTACATCTTCCAAAGCTGATTCAGGGTCATCATCTTGGAAAACCTTGTTCCTCTGAGCATAAAATAGAAAGCAAAGTGTAAGAGTTTCTATTCCAGGCTTTGCAGATTGGTTTCATTTTCATCTATATGTCTGACAGTTTCACTTCCTATTGTCATTAGTGACTTCATCTTGTTTGTCTCCCGGTTGTCATGAGTAAGAGCCCGTTGGCCTGTGATCAGCCCTGTCAGAACAACCTCAAATGCAAACACATCTGTTTTTGGGGTGATTTGAAGCTCCTTCACCGATCTTCCCATCAAAGCAAATTTCATTAGAATGGCAATTCAGAAAGTACAATGTTGACAGTAATATAAATTTACTTAAGGAGGAAGGTAGACTGGTGTTCCAACCAATCTTGTAGCTATAAGGTCTTCGTCACTAGTTCTCTCAACTAGCTTTGCCAATCCAAAATCTGCAACCTGTTGTGACATGGCTGAGTTATTTGTTTATCCTTTCAGAATGATATAGGCTTATAATTACCATACCTTAGCACGGAGGCTCTTATCAAGTAGAATGTTACTTGTCTTTATATCACGGTGAACGTATTGTGCTTTTGTGTGATCATGAATGTACTCAATGCTCCTGGCAGCATCAAGTGCAATCTGGGTTCTTGCTGTCCAAGAAAGAGGCTGATGACCTTTTGGTAATGACTCGTGGAGATCATTGCTGAGGGATCCGTTCTGGACATACTCGTAAACTAAGTAGATGTGGTCATCCCCAGTAGCAAACCCTAATACCTCCACCTAAAACATGGAAACTTTAACATTAATTAAGAGACATAACTTAATCACTTTTTGGCTTTTGATCACATTCATCTGCAGATGATCGCTCACAACATTAATGTGATGGATCTTGCATAAGACTTTGAGCTCTGCAAAGAACTTCTTGGGCTTGTTGGATCTCATCTTCTTTATTGCAACCTCCTGTCCTGTAGTTAGAATTCCATAGTACACACTCCCATAATCCCCTGCTCCAATTTTCTTAGATTCGTCAAAATTAATTGTAGCTTCTTCAATCTCCTCTAGACCGTATACTACTGGTCTTTCTGATTCAAAAACTGTTATGTCCCCAAAAGTAAACGAAGTATAAATTCAGTTGCCTCCTTTATTCTCCTAGAATACTGCAAGTATTCATCTAGTTTCAGTATGGGTCAAGGTTTAAAATCAACCCGACCTTCTGTGTTTTCTCTGTAAAGAAGTTGGTTGTTCATAGAAAATGCTCTAGTACTCTTGCTTGTGGATGCGGCCGTTGTTTTTGCACCTTCCTGCTCATTCTTTTGTTGGGATCTTCGCTTCCGAATGAGAATAATCAGTAAAGTGATGATTGAAAGCAATGTCACAGCTGACAATATGCCAATGAATATTGTCCACATGTGTCTTCTTCCTGGCCATTGAAGGAAAAAACCAATGCAAAGAAAAATCAGTGTTTAACAGAATTCTTTTACCTGAAAAATACAAACACCCATATTGTCTCAGTTAGGATGTAGACACTTTGTATAATCAGAAGAACACTTAGAACCAAATGAAATTAATGACTGAAACGAAATCAATGAGGATAAAACAACTTGAAAATAGACATGATCTTGAACACTATTAATCATACTGACCTTTATTGGGTGGAGGAAGTCAATTGATCTCCTTGGGCACAAACAACACCCATCCTATACCAATGAAACCTGGATTTTCTTTCAGAATCGAGTTCATTTTCTCTACATCACTGATTCTAGCGGAAAGCAAGGTAGAAATATCTGACAAAGTGCCACCCTGCTGAACTGTGTAAGTCACTATAATCTCAGATATTGTCTCTACGCAGCCATACAACAGATGCAACGGAACTTGCTGGTCAATCGCAAACAACTCTTCTTCTCCTCCAACTTCCAGAGCCCATTCGCTGCATATATAGGTAGAAACATTGAAGAATGGGTCATTCGGTTTCACAGTGTAGTTGGTGTTGTAGAGGTACCCAGTAGTGCCATTAACATCTTGGCATGAACAGGGCACTTTTATAAGGTAAGCCTGTCTGTTCTTGTGGGAAATGTTGCTAAATTGGGATATGTTAACGGAGTAATTGGAGGCTATCTGCTGCTGTGATAGACCGGAGTTCATGTGGTATAAAACAGCAGTGCATGCGTTTATGTTTTTTGTGCAGTTAAGAGGGGTCATGAAGTTACCAGAGGGGAAGATTCCGGCCAGTAGAGTGGCTAGCAAAGGGAGGGTGAAGAGGTTGAGACAAACAGAAGCCATGGCTGAGGGTATGAGAGTTTTCCCTATGAAGGGAGAGAGAAAAATGGAATGGAGAGAAAATGGATATCATATTAGTTCTGTTTTGTCTGTCTTACACGTTTGTTAACTAATTGGCATTAGATGGATATTTTTCAGATCTTCATAGGTTCTAACAAGGAATTTGTCAACTGGGAAAGGAGGCTTTAATTATGTTTTTTTGCAACCAAACAAGAAAAATGGAAATCCCATCGCCAAGCAGAGATTTTGGATTTTGTTATTAAGGATTTTCTTATGTATCTTGTCGATATTTACAACTTTTTAATTATAAGTTAATAACAAAAGATTAATCTATTACCCCATCCCCATCACACCTAAGACCGATGGTTGTAACTTTTAAGGGCTTAGTTTTCATCGTCCCCATAAGCAAGTTTGGTTGTCAAGGAAAATCTTCTCTTCTGATTTATGATTGTCTCCTTAGATAGGAGCAGAATCTTCCTTTTTAATTTTGTAACTAAGCATCTCATATAGACCAAAAAACATATATGAATTTTGGTTGAGTTTAATAAGCTGGATATTAGTTATTCTTTAGGCTAATACTAATTCAGCTTAAATTGAAGCTAGCAGTTTTCTTAGCTGTATCAAATTAGCAATAAACATAAGAAGCATCAACATTCAATAGTTTTCAGTTTACAGTTTTACGCTGCGGACCAACAATATCTTTTGTTTTATGCTCAAGTCAAACGTGTAAACTGCAATTGCAAGGTACAGAATTTACATGAGCTGCTACTTAATCTAAATGATAATAGTACCAGTTAATAAAAAGTCTACATCTGGCACTCTTACATCTAGCCTCTTCTTCTGTGGGGGATATTATATTAGTTCTAAGGTATCACAACTGACAAATCAACCATGCTAAAAGATAAAAGAGATACGGTTGTTTGGGTTTTCCTAGGAATAACAACGATTATTCATAATGCTTGTTTCAGCTGTGGACTCAAGCCATTGACCTATCTTTTCTAATGTTTCTTTAAGTTTGATTCTCTTTTTTTATTTGTTATTATTTGAAATGGTTTCAAAATGAATTATCATAAAAAGCAGCAGTATGGAGGACATATTTGCACATAAGCAGCAACTGATAAAACCATGCTTTCAGGTGATAAACTTTGCAGATAATATGGAATTAACCAGACATTCCTATGCAATTGCAGTTGTGTTATTCATAGAAGTACTTCACAAAGGAGAAAATTAACAAGATATGGAGACTTTAACATGAACATGCCTTTGGCTGTATGTAATGACTGGGAAACCAAAGATCTGAATGCTGTTCTGGACACAAGGTACAACCACAGTTGATCAAGAAACCATATAACCTCCGAGTTCATTTATAATTTGTTCCACTTTTGTCAACATAACTGTAATATTAAAAAGAAAAGGAATAAAATATTATCATATGGAGCTGTAAGATAAGTGAAACATGTCATTTCTACAGAGCTAGCGATTAACCAGTAAGCATGTCATGGCACGTTTTGAATCCAGCAATTTTGTTTGTTTTGAAGCCAGCAATTTGTGTAAAACTAGATTAAGATAGTAATAACTCTAACCCGCTTCACCTTGTTTCAAAAGCAGTCAAGCATATTTACAAGTAAAACTAGATTAAGATACCAACATGATTTGAGTGGAGAAGGTTCATAAATAGTGTCATAAAGCTCAGTATGCGGAGAAAACAAAGAGTAGTGAAAAAATACTGCAGGCTTTGTAACAATCATATAGGTGCCCTAGAAATAAGACTTACCATGGAGGGAAGAATCTTCCATATATTTCTGCAAGAAAAGGAAACTATTAATAAAGCAATAGTCATCAGAACATTCAGGGAAAAAATGCAGTTCTTGCAAGCATCCTAGGCTATCCACACATTATGAAAGGCACCATCTGTTTTCAGCTTAAAAAAGTGTGAAAAGCATTTGTCACAGCAATTTTCAAAAGCATACCGCAATTTGGGATTTGAGATCAATGTCCTCGGATGCTCTTGGTTTCTCTTCAGCTACATTCAAAACACAGAGAACTGTTAAGAAATTGACTCAAATGATATTTTTCAAGGTTATACATCAGGCAGTAAATCTACCTTGTTCAGCCTTAGAGCAGCAATTGGCCACTAATGATGTGAAACCAGGAGGTAGGGTGGGAAAAATGCCTTGAGAATCGTGACTGAGGCTTGTTTCTTGAGTATGTGAGTGTTGTTCAACTTCATAGTCCCAGCTGGATGTCATTTGTGGAGTGTAGGCATCATCAGGAGTCACAATACTCAACTCCTCTCGACAAGAACTGTAAAATTTGAGAACCATGCTGGTTTTTTCTTATTTCTCGAACATATGGCATGCTTAATTTATACATTCTGGGAGAAATGAATAAAGTTCAATAGGAAACAGAAAATCTTTTTTGATTTCTACCTAGATGGGAGTCTATTACTAGATATCAGCTCAGATTGTGTTGAAATCCTCGACCCTAGGTCATGGTCTAGATGTTCAGTTTGATTCTCATCCTTCAAATTCTCCTGAAACACAAAAACACAACATACAACATTCATCAGGAGAACAGGAATGATTATCCATCAACAACAGCCCCATTTTAATAGCTTTTCTTTTTTTACACAATAAGCAATGTTATATTATCAAGTTTTACTACCTCTTTAGTAATAACAGCTATACCTCTATTGCATTTATAAATGATTCCACTTCCAGGGTTGTGGAAAATAGCATGGCAAACTTCTGCATCTGTCAAAACATTACCTTATAAGATTCACCTTCTCTTACACAATTGAATGAAAAATATCTATGTTATTTGGAACGTAAAACTTATCATAAAAAATGCTAAAATCAAGAATGAAAAGAAAAGTTTGTTAGTGGCTTGCCCTGCCCTGAGCGTCTTTGTAGCTGACAAATACAGATCTGCTACCCCTATCAGGATATCCAGAGACACACGAGACCTGAGGCCAGGTGAAGTGCAGCTTGGAAAGATAGTGCTCTTCCTGCAGCATGTTTGTTTTCACAACAAAATCTAAATTGAAAACAAATGGAAAAGACCTTTTTAATTGCAAATAATAAGTAGTCACTTTCTATGAACCATGCTGTATCAAAACTATGTAATGCTTCATAGAATAGAATAGTTGCAGAAAATTTTTAGGAGATACTGTATAAAATAAGAGCATAACAGCAATTCCATATAAAACAAATGTAACTAGTGCCCAAAAAAATGCAAGTTCATAATTAGTGAAGATGTTAAATACTAAAGTAGGCAGTACTGGATTCGTAAGACATGTACTTGTTATAGAAAATCAGTTTCTGGTCAAGGTAAGTTAAATTCAAAGACAGAAACAAAGATTATTCCTAATTCCACATAAATTGAGGGGAAATGAATTCAAAAACAGATATGTGTGGAACAATATCCTTGTGATCTCAATCAAAATGGATCTTAATAAAATAACGAAGAAAACTAATACATTTGAGATTGGAAACAAGAAAATATCATGGAATCTAAAGTTAATTACCATGACGCCTGATTCTGTCAAACTTCTAAGTATGTTACTATCAATCAAAACAAAATCCTCAATATTCAATTCTTCAGCAAGAGAATCAAGGAAAATTCTACTCGTTAAGTTTGACATTAAGCCAAACAGCATCAAACAGCAAATGCGTTTTGTTCATTTCTCAATTTCAGCATCTCTTCGGAATCCAATAGCGAGAAGGAAACAAAAAACATCAAACAGCTGCATTTTGTATAATAATTTCATCATCTCTCCGGCATCCAAAAAGCACTAAAGGAAACTTAACGCCGACAAGATCAATGAATAGTGAATCAGAGTACAGATCTTTCGAAATTCTAAAGTAATCAACGAAATCAATTAAACTGACGTATAAGAAACCAGATCAACGACTCACAAGGATCTTATTGAGGAAGCAGACGGTGAGAATCACATCAGAGGTGGAGGAATCGGCGGTGATCTGCAGAGAAGCGGTTGGCGAAGAAGTGGAGATCCAGGTGCCTCCGAGCGGGTAAAACCTTCTGTTATTCGAAAGAGGTTTGAGAGCAGGGGACGGTGAAGGAAGAGCAGGATGAGCAATGAACCGTGCAAAGGCGACCTGCCACTGGTCTCTAACGGCGTTTACAGGCTTCTGGTGCCCGCTCTCTACCACTGCCAGAGACCACGTCATTTTTTTCCCTCTTTCAGTTTCTGTTTAGGCTGGGAATTTGAAATTTTGAAAACGGAAGCACGAGAAAGGTGACATTTATAGAAGCTTCTGTTTCCTGTCACGCGAGGCGCGAGGACTGATTTAGGTCGTTATCATTTTTTTTTAAGAATGAGAATGCTGCCATGTTATACCAACCTAACTGTACATTTGCATCCATTATTTAAATATAATTAATGATTAATAATTGATAATTAATAATTAATTATTATTATTTATCATTAAAAATATTTAATTTGTTCTATTAGAACCAATAATTGATAACTATTAACAAAACTTCAATCCAAACATCCCTAAAATCTTAAAAGATACTTAGTTAGGATGTAGGTTGTTATTTTTTTTTTTTCCTTTATTTATTTATCTTTAGTATTTTTAAGTTACATTTTGCACAACTCAATACTCTTTCTCTTAAAGTCCTAATTGTATATTGGAGTTGAGAAAAATGAACAAGAATGAGAGGAAAATTGAATGAAAATATCTTGTTCTTCTATTTTCTTCTTATTCCCTCCTAATGAATTGAAAAATATATATATAAATTAATTCACTTTTCACTTATTCACTACAATTTTTTAAACTAAATAGATGATTTTTTTTCCACTCTCCTCCCTTAGCCTGCCTTTCCTCGCCTTCACTCAATTCCAAACATACTAACACCCTAAATATCTTATCTATAATTTAAAATTTATTTAATGATAGGTCTAACTTGTAAGGTTTTATTCTATTTATTATTTACACAATTACTATATATTTTATTTGGCTAAAAAATTATAATTATCATTATCTTTGCGTTTTTAAGGTTGATTCATTCAAGGACCTAATCTCCTAATTATTTCATTTTTCCCAATCTCCTTAAATTCTTTCAATTAAATACTTATTCTAAAAGCCACTTAATCTTCCAATTTGATCCTTATTTCACTTATTCTTACTCCCTTTATCATTAAAAAATGATAACTCTTTTCCTCAACCATAATGAGTAACTGTTTAATTTTATAAATTAACTAAAAAAACTTTTATTGATTAGTAAAGGATATTGACAACTAAAAGGGCTCTAAGAATGTCTTCAACAAAACATCTCTTCATATATTAAGGAAGGATATGGTAAAGGTACAAGATGAGAGACAAGGTTTAGTGGTCATGCATAAGTGTTAAGACTAGAGACACTTTATATAGGACACTCGTGACATTTGTCCAACTATGGTTAACGTAGGAAGCTTCTCTAAGAATCATTAGCTTTAGTTGTGGCATAGCTAGGGGATAATGCATATGTCATAATGCACAATGAATATTTACTTCAATATATATTTTTTTATTTTAGTTGCATAATGAAAGATAATAAAAGACAATTATCTTTCATTTGTTACCCTATTCTACCTGCATGTCATACAACTTGAATTTAATATCTCTTATTTCTAATAAAAGAAAATTATCATTGATTTATTTAGATGATTAGCTTACTTCAATATTGTTAGTAGGGAATGGAAAAAAAAATATTATTAATAGACATGTTAGCTATATTCGGACATTTATTGCGTTTAAGTCATGATTAATTCAAGTGCATTCTTCAAAAAAAAAAAGAAAAAAAAGAAAAAAAAGCCACCAATGAAATTTTTGGGTGTTTGTACATTCATAAGATTATCAAGTGCACATAACACTCCTCTTATCAATATATTTGTGGCATGCAATACAAAGATTAGTCGTTTGCACTAAATGCTAAGGCGCACATTCCTTGCTTTGTGGTCCAAGGATTATGCACTCGGACCATTAGCTATCCCCTCGGCTTGCAAAGCTGCCTTATCTCATGAAATCTTTTCTCATATATAGGTTACGATATGGTTGAACTTGTTCGGACACCAGATGAGGACGGTGAGGGAGTAAGCGGCTATAAAGTTGAAAATTTTAAATTATAGATTTTAAGCTTGTACCTTAATATAGATTAAGAGTGATAAAAAAAAATTAAAAAAATATTATTTTATATTATATAATTTATTATATAATGTATTCTAAAAAAATCATTGATAAGCATGTTATACTTATTCAGTTGTGATTATGAGTATTTATTAATTTGTTAAGATTACATAAATTATATTTAATTTGATTAATATTTATAATTTTTTTAAAAAATAATTATAATATATAAAAACATTAATTTATAAATTAATTTTAATTTATTAGTCAATAATAAATATTAATTATTTAATTAATTATTAATTTTTTTAATAATTAAATCAAATAAAATTAATTTTTTTAAAAAATGATATTAGGTGACATTAACCAATAATGTCAAGTCCATGCATTCCCATATGGGCCATATCTGATCACTGTATGGGCACGCTTCCCGACGCATCAGAGTTATTTTATTTTATTTTATTTTTGGCATTTTCCTTAAAGAAATCATTTAAAAAATACTCGAAATTGCGTTGAGTGGCAGCCGGCAGCCAAACCCCGCCCTCCCCAGTACTAAGCACTAACTGCCCTTCTCTGCCCCTCTGCGGATTTCGCGCAAAACAAGGGGAAGAAAAAGGAGAGACGAAAGAAATCTCAGTCGCCATGAAATCTCTGCTCAATTTGGAACATTTTCTGTCCTTCTCTCCCACTGGCATCAATTCTCGCCACTGCTATGATTCACGAAGACCGACCTCCCTTCATTTCTCTGCCAAGGATCGCGGCATTTTGATTGGGCGGAGGTCGCGTTTCACCGTCGTTAAAGCTGTTTTGGATTCGGCAATCATGGATCAGTTGGGGCTGAAAGAATCTGATATTAGGAATCCGGCGATTTCTACAACATACCGGAGCTCGAAGTTGCCGAAGCCGAATCAGACGGTGCTGGAAGCTCAGGCTAGGGTTTGTACTGGACCGACTCAGACCAAGCCGCTATCTGAGGAACAGGCTTTTGATGTTTTGGACACCATTTTAAGATCAGGTCTGTTCTTCATTCTTGCTATCTTGACGGCCTTTTGATTTAGTAAAATCAATTGGGTTAGATTTTATCTGCTTAATGCAGATAAGAGTGAAATACAATAATTGAGCAAAAAATTGATTGCTCTTTTATTCTTTTTCAATAAAGGGAGTCGAGGAGAGCTTAGTTATAGTTAACATTAACGTTATTGATCCTGGCAGTTGTAGTTGGCCATTGTGAATGAAATTATCTTAACTTGGTGTGTTTTTGATGTTGATGAATGATTATAATTATTGACGAAGTTACTTGGTAGCATTTGTGTATGTTGTCAGCTAGAGGAGAGCTCAAAAAAGAAGAGGAAGTCTCTAAAGCACAGCTTGGAGCATTCTTTGCAGCCATGACAATCCGGGCAAATGCCTTTCCAGAAGCAACCCAGTGGAGTGAAGGGGAAAGGCGTGCCATGAATGTGTTTTGGCCCCACTTAGCTCGAGTTTTGCCGCCTGATGTGATCTTTATTGCTGATCCTGAGGGCTCAATTATGGGAGTGGGAAGTTCAGTTGGGCCACAGTTTGTTGGCAATGGTACTAGTGAAATGAGATTGGTGGGTGCCCTCAGAGAAGTTCTAGCAGGAGGTCATCTTGGGTATGAGGAAGTCCAAGGTCTTCTGAAAGAGGTTCTTCCACTGACATCAGATGACAGCAAATCTGCTGGAGTAAGTGAATCACTGCTCTCTGCATTCTTAATAGGCCAACGTATGAACAGGGAAACAGATCGTGAACTGAAAGCATACTGTCTTGCATTTGATGATGAACTTGGTATGCTAATTGTATTCTCATTTCTGAGATTAATTTTTATTTACTTCCTTTTTTTATTAATCAATAAACCTTGTGTTGTAACTGACTGAATCGTGTTAAATCACTCAAATCATTGACATATCGTTTTGTTCTTCTTAATTTATTGGCTGATTATCAGGTCCTGCACCAGTTGCCAATGTTAGATCATTGACTCATTATGGTGAACCTTATGATGGAAACACACGTTACTTCAGGAGCACACTGTTTGTTGCTGCAGTTAGATCTTGCTATGGTGAATCTTCCTTGCTTCATGGTGTGGAGTGGATGCCACCAAAGGTTGGTGCTTGCCATTTTATTGCAGACTGAGGACAATTGTCTTTATTCTTATTAATCCTGGAAGATGACTATTTAAGAAGTTGTCTTTCATTCAACTTATTTCAGCTTCTTCCAAAATGTATATTTGAAATTGACATCAACACGATTAAAAGCAATATAGAGTTTTGCTGTATTTGCCCATCCGATCCCTGATGTAAGATGTTCCCTGCAATGAATTTCCACAGGATATTTAAGTGCCAAATTTTGTCATATATTTGTATCATATACCATTAATTCAAGGAAGATCATTGGAAACTCTTAATATTTTCAGGGGGGTGTAACTGAAGAACAAATGTTGAAGTTTATGGGAGCAAAAACAAACTTATCCTTGCTGCAGGCACAAAAACTTCTAGAGGTCCATTTGTTCACATATGCTTTCTGTATCTCCCCTCCCTCCCTGCCACTGTTGTTTCCTTGGTGTTCTAAAATTTCAGAATTCTTATTTCAGGATGAGGAGGTCGGTTTTGCCTATGTAAGTCTACGGGAAGCTCATCCATCACTGTATGAAACCCAAATCTCGATTTATCTACTGCAGTTCTTTCTTTTGACTTCTCTCTCTCTCTCTCTTTAATTTTGTATATTTTCAATGGAGTCATTTCTGTTCTTCCTTTGAGTGGCTTTCTTAGTGCTATTAGAGGGCATGTGCACAAGGAAAAATGTTCAACTAGTGTATTTCTCCCTTGGTTGGGACTTAGTAACAAAAAATATTTACTCAGTAAATTGAAACTTGGAACCTTCTGTTCCAACATGATGAAGCATTGGTAATGCGGTAAACTTAGCCAGGTCTAGATTTGGGGTAGTCAAAACTTTGGTTTTAGTCTTTCAACTGCCAAGTCAATCTTTTATGAGATGATTCTTTCTACTTTTCTGTTTTGTGATGTGTGTATAAATATGGAGCTTTTATGCTGTCCCACAGCTGCTCCCTTAAGTAAAGTGCTACGTGCAATTTGTCTGCTTTCATAAGTTGAAGATGTTGTGCTGAGCACCTAAATCGTTTATTCTTCACCATCCATTAAGGTGTAGTAGGTCACGGTTCTACTTTGTTCATCATTCACCATCCAATATCTTGATTTCTAGATTTAATTATGTTTATCCTTTATAATATCCTCTCTTGATAGGCTCTCTATTTACTGAAACATGTTATCATCTTCTGCAACATGATGTCATGTAATTGGAATTCTGTTCTTTACCCCCTTTTTTCTTTTGGGGATTCTTTGGTAGAGAAGGAGCTCCATTGAACTCTGTTGCACATGATGGTTGTAACAAATTATGTCTCCTTCCTTTATAATGTGAGAAATTGAGAATGCTAAGAAAGCTTTTATGATTTTTGCAGATATTCATTGGTTGGATTGAGGGAGCATATAAAGAAGCGCCCCCCACTGGCAACAACAGAAAAGGTTCAGCGATTTATCAGGGTGAGCATATAGCTTCTGATGGTAGTGTTAGTTTTTAACATGTAAGTTATCATTCTGATTTCTCCACAAAGGAGCATGGCATCTTAACAGGCACGAGGAAGGGAATCAATTGTTGCTGGATTTTATCATGAAGGATATGAGGAGGCCCTGTTAATGCTTATGAAAAGAAGAGGTGTTCATTCTGGTTTGGTGGTGAAGGTTAGTTCTTCGTAATGCAGATTCCCTAATTTTAATTTTGAAATTCCAATGTTAAGCAAGAAACTTGCTCTGAAGAGAAGCTGATTTGCCCCTTTATAGACTTATAGTTAGTATTTTGTGCCAAAATCCAGCTTCAATTTATAAAAATCAACAATTAATAGAAAAAAAACAAGTATTTAGCATCTGAAAATTCTGAATGTGCTCTCACTTTAGGGTGAAGAAGGTGCCCTCTCAATGACAACAAGGTTGAGAACAGCAACATCCAAAGGACTTCCTGTAAACTATTGCTCAGGTTTCCGGTCATTGAGCATGGAATCAGCTTGTCAAGTGGATGGTTTGTATTACCTAGCTAATCTTCTCTAACCAACAACTTTTTAAATTACCAATTTCTTGTTAGGTTCTGTGTGGAGTTCTGCAGATATACAAGGAACTGTGATAATAAGCTTGGCTTTGCATCTAATGATCCTGCAGGGGTATCACGTCATAGTTTCAATCTAGAGGTTAATGCCATGGACTATGGTTTTGAGCCCACTGATACTCCAAGAACTGATAGATCGGTAAAGTTCAAAGATCCATTCTAATAATTCTTTTCACTGTTCTCTACTCTGCTAATCATTCAGAAAATGTGATCTTTCAAATTGTGGTACAAAAAGCAAATATGCTTCCTCAATCTGAGTTTCATTGGGTAGCGTCAGCTATGAATGTTGCCACTTTCCATCTCATCTAACATGGTATTTTATATACTCTTGAAACAAGCCTTAACACTTTTAAGTATGGCAAAGAAGATGCACAACTAGAATTTGTTCCAATTCTTTTGTGTGTTTGTCATTTGGTCCTTTCTGCTTCTGCAAGATGATTTCAAATTTTCTTCTAATTGCAATGATGAGGCTTAATGTTAAAAAGAGAAGAAAAACTCTGCTTTAAGTTATTGGCTGAAAGCTCCATCACATGCCAGGTGTCGAAGAACATAGAGCTGGGATTGGCAGCTCTTCATGGCCAAAAAGGACCAGCATATGACCGCATTGTTCTGAATGCTGGAATAGCGGATCATTTACTGGGATGTGAGGGTGCAGAAGATGTATCATCTGCCTTTGATAGAGCCAGAGAGGCCATTGATAGTGGTAGGGCTCTTAAAAAGGTGTTCAATTACATAAAGATCTCACACAAGGTGAAGTGAACTTCGACTGAACTGTGCTTTTTGCTTCTGATTTTGAAGTTTAATGTCGTAAAATAATAGAAGACTAGAAGATGTGAAAAAATGGAAAGAGGAAGAAATTTATTACAGGTTTTGTAGTCTATTTTTCATAAACGTCACTCTCTCTCTCTTCACGAAGTTTGTTCAACAGCAAATTGTATTGATTAATTCTTTTTTAGCACACATGGTTGTAACAACCACTGTATAATTTCAAGGGTTTTTTAGCCTTGCTTTCTCTTTGATTAAAAAACCTTTTTGTCACGCTTTTTTTTTTTTTTTGAAAAAAGGAATATTTAGAGTGCTTATCAATAAAATTTAGGTTGGAAGCTTAGGTTGCATCAGAAAACATGGATTCCAATAGTTCAAAATAGCATAAACAAGACACCCTTCTTTGAGTCGCATTAATTCTCTCCAGCTTTTGACATTCCTTGACAACAGAAATTATAAAAATGGTGAAAGGCTGATATTACCTTATTGTTATTACTGGTTACACCACATAAACATTACGATTTAAAGCCGACAAGGTAAAAGCTAGATTGCGGTACAAAAAGCATTCTCAGAGCAGAAGTAATAAGACTAGATTGCAGCACAAATAGCCTTTTTGGAGCAGACGTAACGAGCTGTTGGAGAGAAAATTTTATTACAAAGAAGAAAAAACAAATTAAGGGCCTATTTAGTTTAGTTTTTCAGAGCTTTTACTTTTTAAGTATTGTTTATGAGTGATAAATTTAAATTTTTATTGAAAAAAAAATTTAAAAATTGTTTTTAGATATAAGAAAAAGTGAGGAAAAAATTGAATAAAGAGAAAGTTTATGAAAAACTTGAATTTGAAACTCTTAAGTTTTTATTGTTTGAAATTTTTTTAAGGTTTAAAAATATAAAATTTTTTTAAAAAAATTTAAACTTATGAAATATAAATAATGTTAAAAAACTGAAGCAGTAAGAACCCAAACATGCTAACCCAAACATGCTCTAAAGCTTGTAAGTTAAGTACCTTGGTCATGGTCTCAACTTTCACCCTTCACTTTCTTCTGCAAACGACCTGCCTTACACTGCAACAAAGATGTAGATCCTATCTTCTGTTTCTTCAACGAACTGGAAGTAGGCACGTCTCCAAGACCTCTTGATCACCAAAGTTCCACAGGCTGTCCAAAATCCCACCACAAATCCAGAGGCAACTCCAACCACAGCATCTTGAACCCATCTTTGTCTCTGTCCTTGCCAGCATTGCCTTCTGAAATATCATTTTTGTGTGTTGAACAGTTGGTCGGCAATGGAGCTCCACAAAGTTTTGTGTTTCCTTCAAAAATGGATGGATCGTTGAAGGTTTGGAACTGGTTTGCTGATGGGATTGGTCCAGACAAATCACTATAAGACAAGTTTAAATGGCTCAATGATGTCATAGAAGACATGTTTTCTGGAATCGAGCCTGAGCCTGAAAAATGATTGACTGAGAGATCAAGAGCTTCTAACAGCTGCAATGCTCCAATCTTCTTTGGAATGTTTCCTGTTAACTGGTTCTGGGATAAGTTCAAGGTACCCAAAGTGGAAAGCTTCACTATCTCTTCTGGGATATCTCCTTCAAGATTATTACTTGACAAGTCTATCAAATCCACAAGTCCATCAAGAACACGGGTAAATTGAAGCCTTTGTCCTTTAACATTAAACTCCATATCATCCCAATAGTCAAGTACCTGGGCAAACACTATATTGACCAACTTAAAATTTCAAAATTTTAAAAAGAAAAAATAAAATAATGAAAAATCAAGTGTGATAACTATATAAAGAGTCATTATTCGTCTAAATTATAAAGTGAGACAAATCATATAAAAAAACAGATCTATGTAGACATAAGGATTCAAGGGTTTGGTTAAAAATAAAGAAAAACGTACATGTACCTCACAATTTTTCGATTAAACACAATTGCATATTTTAACATTAGAGTTTTAATTCAACTTATTCATTAACTTTTATATTTAGGTCTTAATAAGAAAACTTAAAAAAAGGGGAAAGATGAAATTGCAATATTTTTTAAATTTTGGACTAAAATGGACAAAACCAAGGACATGCATGCACAATGAGCACAAATAAAAATTAAATGGATTGATTTGGTTAAAGTTAAAAACATGAAGGACTAATTTGAAAAAAACTAAAACTTTTGGATTAAATTGAAAGTTCTGGGTGGAATTGAAATAAAAAAGATAACTTTTGACCCTTTGACCAAGATTAGAGAAAAAAAAGATTAAAATTAATTAATTATGTTAATAAGTTCAATTAAATAATTAATTCAACATTAATTGAAATTAATTAATCATATTTATTAATTTCCTATCAAAATAATTAAATAAATTTAATTACTTAATAAACATAATTAATTTACTTTAATTAAAATTAATTAATTTTATCTACCTCACATTTAAATTAATTACCCTAATCAATTAATCACTTTATTTATCCTTTATTACTTGTCCTCGTTTTCTTGAACTCTCTTTAGTTTTTTTAATATAAATCTACTGGATTGGGTCGGGTCATTCTGGCCCAAAAACAGAAAACCATTCATCCAAATATGCAAAAACAGATCAAACGTCGAACAGAAATGGAATCTGGAGAAAAACGAAATGGAACTTTAGGGTTCCTATTCAACATTCATTAACGCAGACAAAAGGAAAACAAACGAACATCATTTAAGCTCAGATTCATGAAATTCAACAAACGTACTTGATTTTATTCACCACGTCATCATCCACTCCAGTTCCAAAACATCAAAAATCTAAGAAAAAAGAATTAAAGCAAACAAGGCCGAAATTTCTGGAGAGGACAGATCAGGATCAGAAGGAGGGATCCTACCCACGGGATCAAGCTCCATTCGTCTCCGTCACTATCCTTCCCAAAAATCCCTCTGTTCAGCAAATTACCTACGACGATGAAACCCAGAAGATGGAACCCCTCCGAAACGCAACTGGTCACTCCCTTGGAAAGCTCGACGACTCTACCCTCTAACCGCTGCTTTCCCTGCCTTGAATCTCTCCAAAAAAATGCCCTTTTTCTGATTTCAGAAACCCCCCTTTTCCTACTCCTAAAACCTCTATTTATATCCCAAGGGAAAAACCCTAGAACCTGAAACACTCAACAGGCCCATACTCGTTGGAACTGCCCACTTGGATCTACATATCCCAGACTTTTGAAATGTGACTTTGGGCCTTGATATGCAGAAAAACAGCCCATATCGAATCCCCTTTTAGCTGAAAGAACGATCTTGAGTAGAAACTGATCGGATCTGCAGTTAAACTGGGAGTTCTCAGGAAGCTTCTTCTCGGCGTCATCGCGTGAATAGAACCTCCGCCACCAACCAATAGATCCGGCTTCATTTGCTCCTGTTCTGCTGTTCACTCACCGGCGTAGGTGATGCTGGACTGCGACAGCGGTTCTTGTAGATCGCCGGTGATCTTGAGAAAAAGGGATGTCTGTTGACTGTCTTGGGGAAAGGGAAAATCAGGGGTAGAGAAGGTGAAAATGGATCGGTAGGATGAAAAGCTATGGCTGGTTGAAGAGGAAGAGCCATCTGCAGCGGGAAGGGGATTGAGAGGCCGAGGATCTGCATGAGGAAGAAGAGGAAACCGAGGGAAGAGGGAGAAGCCACGCGTCGCATGGAAGGGGAAGAGGAAACCCAAGAAGTTTCGGGTAGGGAAGAAAAGCTCAATCGTCGGCTGAGAAGGAAAATCTGGGAGATGAGGAAGAACGCCGATGATGAGTGAGGGAGAGAAGAAGGTTCGAATTTTATCTCTATAATTTTTTTTTTTTTTTTGGAATAGTGAGTTTTGGGTTTAATTGAGTCTATGTCTCTTAAATTGAAATGGGTTGGTGTTGGATTGGGTTTAGCTTTAATGGGCTCAAATTGGATATTTGGGCTGGATTTGAGCTCTTAATTTTAATGCATTCCACCCCTTCAACTTTCCATTTCTTCTATTGGGTCCCTCGTCTTAATTTCTTTCCCACTTCTTCGCGAAATTCCTCTTTTGCTCACAAACCTACAATGAAAGAAGAGACGAAACATAATTAAAATAAAGATAAAAACTAAAACAAAATTTTACTAACAATTTGAGTTATGACAACTATTATCACGTTGATGACCACTTAAGAATTTTTTCAAAATAAATGAAAAATTAAATGTAAAAATATAAAAAAGAGAGAGTCGCCACTTATCCAAATTATAAGGTGGAACAAGTCATCTAAAACAGATCTGCATCAAGATTGAGTTTCAGGAGTTCAGTTAAGAGTGAGTAAAGACATACGCGCACCTCATAGTCTTCCGTTTAAATACAATTGCATATTTTAAAATTAGGATTTTGATTCAACTTACTCATTATATCTATATTTAAGTCTTAATAAAAAAATTTATTTTTTATTTTTTTATTTAAAAAAAAATATGGACCAAATTGAAACATTTTTAATTTTTGGATTGAAATGAACAAAATCAAGCACATGTATGCATAATAAGCACAAATAAACATTAAAGGGACTAATTTGATTAAATTTGAAAACATGAAGGATTGACTTGATCAAGTTCAAAACATAGAGGACTGATTTGAAAAAAAGTTGAGACCCATGGACTAAATTACGTAATCATAAAATTTGGGGTGAAATTGAGATAGAACAAAAAGATAACTTTCACTTTGACCCAAATTAAAGAAAATTGAGAATTAAAATTAATTAATCAAAATAATTAGTTTAATTAAAAAATTAATTTAAGATTACTTAAAATTAATTAAAATTAATTAATCACATGTACCCATCTTTAATTGAAATGATCAAGTAAATCTAATTATCTTAAATTAAATTTCGATAAATATGATTAATTTGTTTTAATTAAAATTAATTAACTTCATTGATTATAAATTAACTAACTCACCTAATTAATTAATAAAATTTATAAATATATATTTTTTACTTTTTACCCTTTTTAGTTTTTTTTATTGGATCGGGTCAACCCGACCCACAAAACATAACCCATTCATCCAAACATTGCAAAAATGGATCAAATAGCGAACAGAAAAGGAGTTTGGAGAGAAACAGAATGGAAGTTAGGGTTCTGTTCAACATTTCTACAAAAAAAAAAAAAAAAATTCAATAGACTATAACGCAAACATAAATCCATAAAATCCAACCAGAAGATGACAAAAAAATAAACTAAATAGACTTTATTTCTCACTCATTTTTCAATAACCATATACAAAAATCAACAAGATCAACAAAATAACAGAAACACACACAGTGGAGTTTTAAGAAGGTAAATCCAGGTTTGATGGGAGGGATCCCACCCACGGGACCAGGCTCCTATCATCCCCTTCACTACCATTCCAAAAACCCCTATGTTTCAGATAACACCTTCAGCAATGAAATCCAGAAAATGAAGCTCCTCTGGAAGCTCGGTGATCCTTCTTCTTGAAAGCCGTTGTTGCCCCCTTTCTTCTCCACTAAATCCCCTTCTATTGCTCTCAAAAACTCAGACGAGACTCTCAGCAAACAGACCCAAAATCAACCAAAAACCAACCCCTCTCTAATCTGATTTTTTTTTTCTCTATATATACCCAAACAAAATAATAAAATAAAAATAAAATAACAAAAAAAAAATTTTCTCTGAGGATGCCAATTTGTCCGGTATTCACTGTCTTTTCTGCACGTGAGGCAATGATGGGGCTGTAGCAAGCAGGAGTGCAGAGGCGCGGGATTGGGGGCGAGGCACGGTGTGCAGGGGGGCACAGAGGAGGGGCTGGGTTGGTGCAGAGGGGGGGTGATGAGTGCTGATTCGGTGCAGAGGATCTGGGCTGTGCAGGGAGGAGAGGAAGCTGGAGATTGATGCAGAGGGGAGAGGAAGCAGGAGATTGATGCAGAGGAGGGTGGAGGCTGATTCGGTGCAGACGATCTGGGCTGGGCGTAGGAGGTTGCAGGCTTGGGTGCAGAGCAAGACTGGTGCAGGGGTGCAGGGCTTGTGGCTGCCGGCTGGTTTGGGGAGGAGGCTGTTGGCTGCTAGCAGAAGGCTGCCGAAAATGGGGAAGGTTCGAGAGAGAAGGAGAACGAAGACGTTTAACTTCTTTTTTTTTTTGGGAGATTTGGTCTTTGGGTAGTTGTGGATTTGGGCTTGGGTTTTGGGTAAATTGTGGGTTTTTGGGTAATTGGGTTTAATGGGTTTTGGTTCTAACTTTGCATTTCACCCCTCCAACCTTCCATTTCTTCAATTGAATCGTTTCTCTCATCTTCTTTTCCAATCTTCTTCATAAAATTTCCTTTTCTTGAGTTTCTTTTTCCATTTGTTCATGAATTTTCCAATTTCTTCTTGAATTTCTTTTTGCATCTAACACGTAAAACAAAATAAAAATATATTAGTCGAAGAGAAGAGAAATTTTCATATTTTTATATTTTTGATTATATATATATTGACAAAAATTTAAGTTATGACACATCACTATAACAACTAAAAGTGTATACCTCATATATAAAATGATATGCCTTAGATGCATTAGACTGATTTTCTAAGTGATACAAGCCAGTTAAATTGCCTAGACAAAGTGGAATCAACCCTGATAGATTATTCTACCCCAAATCTAAAACATGGAGGTTAGAGAGATAACAAAAATTTCTAGGTATCTGTCCTTTAAATATGTTTCCTCGCAAGTTTAGTATTGATAGGCTTGTTAGATTCTCTCCAATCCATCTTGGAATGCCTCCGTAGAAGTGATTGTTTGCAAGATTAACCTTGGGCAAACTTTGTAGTTCTATAAGGATGAAAGCCTACCATAAAGATTGTTGTCATCCGTTTCAAATAAGAAAGCTGTTGAGATACTGACACAATGAGCTTGGAATGTTGCCAGATAGATTGTTCTTGGAAAGATTTAATGCCCTCAAAATTTTCAATTTTGGGATCCTTCCAGAAAGTTGATTTGTTTCGAGAGGCAAATTTATCAAGCTCAACTTAGTGAAGAAGGAATACTACCATTGAGGTTATTATATGAGAGATCCAAGTAAAAAAAATCCAACATATCTAGCCCAAAATTTGCTGGAATGGGTCCTAAAAGTAAGTTATTCTTGAAAGAAATAGCAATGACACCAGATATGTGCGGAAGTGGTCCCTCAAATAAATTAAAACTAAGACCTACAAATGAACCCGATGCAAATTTTAATAATCTTGGAAGCTTTCCTTGTAATTTGTTATTGCTAAGAGCGAACACTCGTAATTGTGGACACAGTTCCCAAAACCAATTAGGTACAAAGTCTGAAATTCTAACTTGGTCAAGGCGAATAAAGATTAGTTCCTTTTGAGTTTGGAGCCATGCTGGTAATTTAATATCCATTTCACAATTATCAATGAGGATCCACTCTAGATTGAAAGGAGGAACCTAATCATGTCCCATATGGAATGCCAATGACTTTTCTCCAACTTTAGCGAAGAAACTAAATCTTCTTAGAACCTAATCATGTCCCATTTGACAAAATGATTCCTAGATACAACCCCTCCCTAGTTGTTGCCATGAAGAATCAAATTAGTCAAATGTTTCAGTTGTTCGATAGTTTGAGGAATTGTTCCATTCAATTCATTGGAAAAAAGATATAATCCCTCCAAAAATGATAGGTTTTCAAGAGAAACTGGAAATGGACTAGAGAAATGATTCTCAGAATGAGAAAGACACCTCATGTTGTTAAGATTTTGCAAAGATTTAGGTATCAACCCATTGAAGTCATTGGAAGACAGATCCAATTCTTCCAAACTATTGTTTCTGCATTTTGACAAACTCTCCACTAGCTTGACTATTTCTCCATCCATTTCATTGCTAGATAGAGCTAAAGAATGTAAAAGGTAGAGGTTTTCCCAAGCATCAACATTGTTTAGAGAGTCCTTAATTCCACAATGGGACAAATCAAGCTCAACAAAAGTACTAATATTCAACAACCACCTAGGTAAGGGTGAATTGAAATTATTACTTCGAAGATTGATGACCATAATAAAACTAAAGTTCACAACAAGAAGAAAGGTTAGGAGGTCATGGAGATCACAATAAGGCAAATGCAACTCCACCAAGGAAGAGAGCATATTTACAGCTTGCAACCAATTGGTTGATGCTAAAGTGAGGTTTGCCTCCCCTAGATTAAGGTGTTTCAATAAGGAGAGACCAGAGATCTAATTCTCTTGAAAAATCATTTCTGAATTGTGTGCGGAGAGATCAAGGTAACGCAAGTTTGATAAGTTTCCAAGATGAGGAAGAATCAATTCGGTAAAAGATGCATAAGAGAGATTGTAAGTTTCTAATATAGAAGTAGTTAGCAAGAACATAGAAAATTCGAAACTAGAAAATTAAGAACAAGAGCCTCTTTGATATGGAGCTCTCTTTTCATTTCAAATTAATTACAATACATAAGAGTTGCTGAAAATATATGCAACTTGTACATATCAGTTTTTGTGAAAAAAAAAAAAAAACTAGCAGAAAACATAAACTTTAACTATAGAAAATTGAAAAAAAAAATAGTTACAAATTAAAAAGCATAACTGATATCTGCTAACTTTAACACTCCTCCTTTCTTTTTATATTTGTAACTCCAAGCATATCTCTAAATTCTTCAAATTTTTGCTTCGAAAGAGCTTTAGTTAAGATATTTGCAACTTGAACTTCAGAATCACAATGCTGCAAAATAATCTCTTTGTCCCGAACATAATTTCTGATAACATGATATTTAATCTTGATGTGTTTGGTCCTACCATGCTACACTGGATTATGAGCAATAGCAATTGTTGACATGTTATCTACCTTGAGTACACAAGGTTCAATTTGATCAAAACCAAGTTCTTCAAGAACCATTCTAAGCTAAACAACATGATTTGTTACTGCTTCAGTTACTAAATACTCGGCCTCAGCTGTGGACTGAGCTACAACATCTTACTCCTTTGAATTCCAAGAGAAACTCCCTGAACCAAAGGAGAACACATAACATATTGTGCTTATCATATCCTCCATAGAACCTACCCAATCATTATCAGCATACCTCTGTAACCTTCCTTGTTGATTACTGTCAAACCACAAGCCAAATTCATAGGTTCCTTTGATATACCTAAGAACTTTCTTGGTTGCAACTAAATGAAGTTTATTAGGAGCTATCATAAACCTTGACAAATAGCTTGCTATAAACATCAAATTAGGTCTTGTAACAGTTAAATAAAGGAAGCTACTAATTAAACTTCGGTAGTAGGAGGAATCAACCTTGGTTTATTGATCATCCTTAGAAAGCTTTTCACTTTGAACTAGTGGAGTGGCAACTGGTTTACAATTCTCCATTTCAAACTTCTTCAAGATATCCAGTGCATACTTTTTCTGGCAAATGAAAATTCCCTTGCTCAATTACTAAACTTCAAGTCCCAAAAAATAATTTGTCTCTCCTAAATCTGTCATTGCAAACTCCTCCATCATAACCTTCTTGAATTGTTCCAACAACTTCAAATCATTTTTGGTTAACAATAAGTCATCCACATAAAGTGATAAAATAAGCTAAGATTCATTTTTGTTGCCTTTCATGTAAAAAGTTGCTTCTTTTGAGCTCTCCTGAAGCCTTGACTCATCAAGTAGTCATCAATTCTACAATACCAAGCCCTTGGCGCTTGTTTTAGACCATACAAAGCCTTATTAAGCTTATAAACATAGTTTTCCTTCCCTGTAATCTTAAACCCAAGTGGTTGTTCAACATAAATTTCCTCCTGCAGAACACCATTAGGGAAAGCTGATTTAACATCCATATGAAACAACTTCCAATCTAAATTAGCATCTAATGCAATTAGAAGCCTTACTGTATCATGTCTAGCCACCGGAGTATAAATCTCTCCATAATCGACTTCCGAGCATACCCCTTCACTACAAGTCTAGCCTTAGATTTGTGTATAGAACCATCTAGATTTAGCTTAGTTTGAAACACCCACTTCACTCCAATAGGCTTCTTATCATCTAGTTTTGGAACAAGAGACCAAGTTTGATTTTTTTCAATCATAGACAGCTTTTCCTTCATGGCATCAATCCAAACCTGTTGTTTAGCTGCTTCTTCAAAACAAGTAGGTTTTGCAGTAGCTAAATTACACCTTGCATAAATCTCAGCTAGTTGACTTAGTTTTCAAAAATGGTGAATCATCAACAACTTTTGCAACATTAGTTGATTTCAACTCTAAACCAGCTTCACACTGCTTATTTGAACCTTTTTCTTTCTTACATCCCAATTCTAGTGTGCACTCTCATAAAAAACAACATCTTTATGTACATTCACCTTCTTGGATATAGGATCATACACCTTATAGCCTTTTGCTTATGGTGCATAGCCTATAAAGATCCCAATTTCTGCCTTCTCATCTAATTTTCCTCTTTAAGCTACTGGAACATGATTATAACAAATTGAGCCAAAAACTTTCAAATGATCAATTGATGGTTTTTGACCATATTAAGCCTCAATAGGTGTCATGCCTTTTATTGCCTTTATTGGTAAACCATTTAAGAGATAAACTGCTGTATAAACTACTTCAGCCCCAAAAGATTTGGGCAATTTCTTCTCTGCTAACATGCACCTTGCCATCTCCATAATGGTTCTATTTTTCCTCTTTGCAATGCCATTCTGCTATGGGGTATAAAACAGCATTAATTGATGATCAACACTAGCTTTTTCACAAAACAAGTTGAAATCATTGGAGGTATACTCCTTGCCATTATCTGATATGAGTTTTTTAATTCTACATCCACTTTGGCTTTCAACCAAAGCCTTGAGTTTTTTGAACATAGGCAAGGCTTGACCTTTGCTGCTAAGAAAGTATACCATGTAATTCTTGTAAAGTCATCCACAAAGAGGATGAAATATTTGTTTTGGCTGAGAGATGGTGTTCTCATAGGGCCACAAATATCTGTATGCACTAGTTCAAGCTTCTAAGTTGCTCTTAGAGATTTATTCACAGGAAAAGGCAATTTATGCATCTTGCCTAATGACAACTTTCACAAACATTGTCAGTTAGATGCAACTCTAGCAAATCTCGAACAACCTCATGTGTTTGTGTATATTTTAGGCCTTTGACATTAAAATGACCATATCTTTTATGCCATAAATATGCATCCACAGTTTTAGAAGCAAAAAAACAATGCTACATCATTTCCAAATCCAATGGAAAGTTGTTTTCTACCATTTTCACCCTAGCTATCTTGTCACCAATAGGGTCATAAATAAAACATGAATCATGCACAAAAGATGGAGTGTATCCCTTTTTCATCATTTGTGCAACATAAGTAAATTTTGGCTTAAGCTAGGAATAAATAGGACATCAAGAATTTGTTTTGCACCAGTTTTAGCTTGAATAATAGCAATACCTTTCCCTTGTGATCTCACCAGAGTACCATTTCCTAACTTAACATTTGTGATAACTGATGTATCCATTTCAATGAAGAGACTTTCATCTCGAGCCATATGATTAGTGCATCCACTATTAACAAACCAAGTATTAGATGGTAGAGATGAATCTTGAGACACTATGAACAAGTAGTCCTCCTTGCATTGATCTTCAACATAATTAACTTGTTTATGTTGCTTTGGTTTATACTGAGCTTGTTGATGTTGTGATTGATGCTGTCGCTGTTGCTTAGCCTTGTAATTCTTCTCAATATGGCCATACTTTTTATAAAATCTGCATTGAATCTATGATTTTCCTTTGAACCAATAATCTTTTTCTTCATGGTTTGTTTTTTTGCAATGACAACATGGAGGAAACCTCCCTTTTCTGCTTTTTTGATGCTGCTAATATGGTTGGTTAAAACCCATGGTTTTATTGCGTCCAGAACTAATGGTTGGCTACTTGCCTTTTTGTCTTTTATGGAAGGCTCCTTTTGTAGTCTCATCAATTTTCATAACCAACCTTTGCTCATGAGCTTGAAGCTTGCTTTTGAGCTCAGTGATGGTTAGCTTTTTGAGGTTACAAGATTCTTCTATGGTAGAAATCTTGGACTCAAATTTATCTATTACACTAACAATAATCTTTTCCACCACCCTTCCATCTGGAAATTCCTCACCATGAAGTATGATTTTGTTGACAATACCCATCCATTTATTTGTATATTGATGGACTGTTTCTATCTCTTGCATTTTCAGCATCTCAAATTGTCTTTTAAAGGTTACAATCTTGTTACCTTTAACTTGAGAACTGCCATCAAACTCTTTCTTAAGAGTGTCCCAAGTTTCTTGTGTTGTTTTTGCTCCCATGAGCCTTGAGAAAATATCATTTGTTACAGCACTATGAATATAAGAGAGGGCTTTGTATGAGGCTTGAATATAGTCAGCATGTTGCTTCATCTGGGCTACACTTGGATTATTTGGCAGCATCGGAGGATGAAACCCATCTTCTACAGATTCCCACATGCTATTACCTCTTAGAAAGGCCTTCATTTTGATAGCCCAAACACTATAATTTTCTCCCGTGAACATAGGAGGATTAGAAAGTGTTGAAGAATTATTTGAAGACATGGTTGTGTTTTTTGTTTACACAACTTCTCTCCCTCACCAGCACTCGTGTTTGCTCTCTCTCATGAAAACCTGAATTTGTTTTGCTCTCACAAGCCCCTCAAGGTGATTAAGCTTTGATACCAATTGTAAGTTTCTAATCTAGAAGTAGTTAGCAATTAAGCTTTGATACCAATTGTAAGTTTCTAATCTAGAAGTAGTTAGCAATTAAGCTTTGATACCAATTGTAAGTTTCTAATCTAGAAGTAGTTAGCAAAGAACATAGAAAATTCAGAACCAAAAAATTCAAAACAAGAGCATCTTTGATATGGAGCTCTCTTTTCATTTCAAATTAATTACAATACATAAGAGTTGCTGAAAATATATGCAACTCGTACATATTAGTTTTTGCAAAAGAAAACTACTAGAAAACATAAACTTTAATTGTAGAAAACTAAAAAAAAAAAAATATTACAAATTAAAAAAGCATAACTAATATCTACTAACTTCAACATAAATTAAGGAATTCCAACTTGGTGAATGAACCAAAGAAGTTTAAGATTGGAGTTTGTTCAAAATTGTTCAAGCTTAGATCCAAGTAGCTTAAATACTTCAAGTCAAGCAATGAAGGATTTGCCTTACCTTGCAAGGATGCCAACTAGGAAGCTCTTAGATCACTTGCATTAAGGTCACCAAAAAGGTTACCACCATATGGGTTCTTGAGATCAAGAGCTGTGACATGTCCAGTTTGCCTACTGTAACCTACACCAAACCATGGATAATAATCATTGCCAACCTAGGAAGAAAGCTAGCTGGAAGGATCTTTGAGACCTTCTTTGAACTTGAGAAGTGCATTTCTCTCTTTCTCTTAGCAAGTTATAGTGAAGTTGGTAGAATAGGAACCAATTCACTTGCTTGGATGGATAGAAGTTGAAGAGAAAATAAGTAAGCGGAAAAGAGAAGAAGAATGTGAGTGAAAATGGAAGTGATCATCGTAAGAATGTGGTTATGGTCTCACTAAATTGTGTGGAGGTTGAACATGGCATGAGGCCCTGCCTTTTAGTGTGTCGCCAAGCAACTATGCCAAGATTGGTGGGTACCAATACGATTGAAAAATTGTGTCATGACAGGATTGAGTATGTAAGGAAAGACTTAAAAGTCCAAATAATCCACTATTTCTATTAGAATAAGACCGTAAGTTGGGCATGCCAGATTGCGAGTCAAGGTGAAATTGGACTTTGGTTTCTTTTACCCATTCCATTTTTGGAATGTTTAGATGAATTATCCATTCTGTAGCATAACTTTTTTTTGTCTTATGACATGCTAATTAATTTAATACATGACAAGTAGTTTTATATTAACAAGATACTACAATAAATTTTGCTTTTAGTGACCAAATGTTAAGAATCCTGTCATTAATAATGGTAGGAAAAACCAACAAATAATGATGGGACTTTTATCTCGTTGTTGCTAAGTTTACAAAAGTTGATTTTAATAACCACCTCAATATACCGTCATTATTTGTCATCTCCTTAATTTTAGCTACCGATTTTGAAATACCATCTTTGATTGGAACTTCTTGGTGGAACTTTTTGTCACTTGAAAAGGGAAAATGAAATGAATAAGCAATTTCCTTTTTTCGTCCCTTTTTATTCTTTGGTTATGTACTTGTGCTAGGGTCATTTTAGAGAACCAAATTATTCTCATCTTCCTTCTACTCCCTCATCTAGATTTGTAGGTTTGAAAAAGTGTACTCTTCCTCGTCTCTTCAACAACCCAAAATTCTTCTCTTAAAACCCTTTTGCAAAGACAATGTAGATCTTGGCTTCTTTTTCATCTTCACCATTTTGGATCTCTCTTATAAGTGAAGAGATTGGAGGGTTAGGGATGAAGTGCTATGGAGATCATACGTTGGATGGGACTTCAATAATGACAGGCTTTCTTTCGCTCTCAAATCTTTATCTGAATCTTTGTGTTCATATTCATTGGATCTAGGGTTAGAAGAAGATCCAACTATTCCTATTTTCCTCTTCCTTCGTCCTTCCTTCATCTCTATCACATCTTCTCTTTTTCTGCTCACCAACACCTGATCCAGCCACATAATCACCTCTATCAACGCCTATTGTCACTAGCACCCCACCAATGATTCCTTTTTCCTCTTCCTCCTTGTCCTCTCCATCTTTTCTTTCCCTGTCCTCTCTATTCTCCAGCACTCAACCCATTACTGTGAATGCTGTTGTCGCTGGTAACCCGTCATTGCGGTGATCACCTCCCTCACCAAAGCCATTTTTTTCTCATGCGGCTCAAGCATTGCCAGTTGATTTTCCTTCATATGAAATTTCCCATTTTGCAGCCTTGATTTCCTCTCGTGATTCAGTTTTATTGGCTTGATTTAGAGGTAATTTTGACCCCTTTTTTTTCAATTTTAAGAATAAATTGCTCATTAAATCTTGATTTTGTTAGAGCAGAATCTATCAATTTTGATATACCATATCAAAAAATGATTGCATGCAATTAATTTGTTTGGATTTTATTTCTTGTTAGATTTTGTTATTGCAAAATTGGTAGTTTCAATTGCTTGCTTTCTGATTTTCTCACTTTAAAAACAAACTTGAATTGTATGTATACCAGTAGCTAATCATTTATATCAAGTTAATGAGTGATACTAGTTCTATTACCTTTTCTTTTTTGTAGCACTTGTGTACGAGGCATGAAAACTAAGGGAAAGCTAGGTACTTTTGACAATGCTGTTAAAAATGCTAGCTTTGAGATTCAGGACTCTTGGAATCAAATAATGTTTGATTTCCTTCTCTCTTGACTTGCAGGTGGTAATTGGTATTTTTTTTCTTTGTTTCAGGGTATATTATATGCAAATCTATTTTATGGTATTTTAACTTAATTTCCAATTATCATTAAAAATTATCAATTTTTAATCAATTTTAGCAAATGGTCCCATAGCCTGCAGAGTGAGGTGGAGACTGCTAGTGACTAGAAACAAAAGAAAAGTAGGAATATTGTGCACTATATGGAAATTGGTCTTTAATTTATGCATTTTTTACTTCAATTATGTGCTCTGTCTTGACTTTGGCATAACCTCTTTTAAATTAGAAATTTTTTAATAAATTAAATAAAAAAATATATTGTAGTATTAACAAAATGAAAAGTCTTGTCAGTAATCAAATTTCTCCTTTTAAATCACATTAATTTGAAAGTATAAAAAAAATAAACTTATTTCTTTTGTTCTCTTACGATAGTAAATATTTATTTAACCATAAAAAAGGATTGAATTCCAAAAATTTGGATTGAATTTGAACTACAAACAAAAATTTGGATTGATTCCTTGCCTCCGCTTCAACTCGAATACAAGTTAAAAGATTTTCCATGGTGATCTCCTTTTGCTTGTGATGCATCATCTTTGGGAACTCCTTCCATGAAGACAGTAGCTTGTCAATAATGGCTACAACTTTGAGTTTGTCATCGATTTGTATGCCTTCAGACTGGAACTCATGAGCAAGCATTTGTAACTCTTGAATTTGTGACACCACCGACTTGTCATCCACCATTTGGAAGCGTAGCCATCAGCTACCAACATACATCTTCGCACCAACCTCCTCAGTGTCATATTTTTTCTACAAAGCATCCCAAGTTTCCTTGGCAGTGGAGTAAGTTCTTTCATAGTAATCATAAAGCTCATCAGAAAGGCAATTAAGTAAAAAGTTGCGACAGCTATATTCATCTTTCTCTCACTTTTGGGCTTTCTTCTTATGAGATTTCTTTTCCTCAGCACTCATACCTTCGGTTGACAAATTAATAGGATTTTCCTCATTGAGGACATATGCCAAATTTAACAAATTAAGATAATACAAAACTTTTCCTTTCCATCATTTGAAATGCTCACCATTAAAACGAAAAGGCATGTTAAGATCATTAGCGACCTTAACAGGTTTTTCACAAGGTAAACTCATTTTTAAAGAATTTTTCTTTCGAAACGTCCTAAAATTGTTGTTCCTTGTAAATTAAATAGAAGAAAATAGATAAAAGATTAGCAAAAAACAATTAATTAAAGATGAAAATGAAAAATAAAAAGATGTCACCGAAAGTATGAGAAGTTTGAGCTAAGGCGTGGATCAATCACTCTCTTTAGGATGTTTTGTGCCACTGGTCCAGTAGATTTTTATAGTCACGCCGCCCCCAAGACACAACAACCCAACCTTCCTCGTTGTATCTTTACAAGTATTGCACTCTAGTAAAGAAAACTCTACCCCACCACCTTTTCCTTGCCCAAAGAGAATTTATATATTGTGTTTGTGAAATAAGAGTGCAGATTATGAAATTGTATCTGCCTTTGGTAAATATTTAGGCTGCCTTTTTATAGGGCTTCACAATGTTTCTGCAGGTTCTTTTTTGTGACTGAGCCGCTTGGAACCTCAGCTTGCAGCTGTATGGTTCTGATAGGGTCAGGAACTGATCTGCTAGTTTTTTTCCAGATATGTAATTTGTTTTAAGGGCAGGGGTACCCCTTGTACTCCATGAAATACAAACTTTTGCTGTGCAAAAAAAAACAATGTAACCGAATTAGACAAAATGTTAAAATTTGAAATGAATTCGGTTATCAAAAAGATTTGAAACTAATGTAGATAAATGTAATAATGTTTTCTGTTACCAAACGTGATTTGAAACTGATGTAATGACGCATTGGTTTAAACTCATTTAAAAAACAGAAACGCATGAATCCATTTAAAAACAAGAAGGCATGGGTAACTGACACAAGTTTGATTTTTTTTTTTGAAAACAATGGATTCGTAACCAGTTGGAATTGATTTCGAAAATAATGGATTTGTAACTGTTGCGGTCTCAAAAAATGTGTAACTCTTGAGATTAAATCTTTAAGTAATAGCTCCACAACCGACTAGAAATGATTTTAAAAATAATGAGATTTATTGGTTACAATTTTTAATTAAAATTTACAACACCTTATGCCATGTTGTTCACGTGCAATCTAAAAGAATATTTGAATAAGAACAGAGGTTTTGATTCGCGAGACTTACCGGTAAACAACAGCCAAAACTGAGCTTCTTTCCCCCTCTTTTACATGGACAGCAGCTTTGAAAGGATTTGGGCTTTCCATTAACAATTTAATTTAAAATCTTGATGCTTTTAAATTTGAATTTAACTTATAAAATTGAGCTACATTAATCAAGAATCAAGAGGGTAAGTTCAGATGTTCAATCAAGACAAAAATAACAGAAACTTAAGTTTGTCAAAATTTAAA